ATTTTTATTTTTTTAAATATTTATTATTTATTATATTCTTTCTGCGTGTATGCCTGAAGGCCAGAAGAGGGCACCAGACCTCATTACAGATGGTTGTGAGCCACCATGTGGTTGCTGGGAATTGAACTCAGGACCTTTGGAAGAGCAGGCAATGCTCTTAACCACTGAGCCATCTCTCCAGCCCCCTGTAACTAAAATTCTTAAAGCTTTTACTAACTAGCATCTATGACTCAATATCATTAAGATTCTCTTATACTTCCTGTTAAGATTTCCTTACCATCTTCATCTGCATTAGCAGTCTTTCCTGGTTCTGACTTCTGATAGATTAGTTTACTTTTATTTGTTTGTTTATATAAATGATTTATAGGGCTATATTTTTATATCTTTCTTCCCCTATTTTGATTTTAGAGATAGGGTTTCTACTTCTATGTATATTAAAAATACTACAATAAATAATGGTGTGGTTTATAAATGAGTGCAAAATAGCAAGGAGCAGTATTTCAGAAGTGTAGAAAGGCAGCCGGTGGCGGTGGTGGCGCATCCTTTAGGTCCACTTTAGGCTCCGGGGTGGGGGTGGGGGTATAGGTAGGCTGTCTCTTGAGTTGGAAGCTAGCCTGAGCTACAGATTGAGTCCTAGGACAGCAGGGGCTATGCAGAGAAACACTGTCTTGGAAAAAGAACAAAGCAGCAGCAAAAAGGCAACATTAACAGGACTGAATACATACCTTTATTTCTTCCAGACCAGAGAATTGGTGTTAAATTATATAAAGATTAAATAATTCATGTTTTGCAACCTGAAAATATTTACTTAATAAAACTATTAATTCAGTAAACTATACAAAGAAGGTAAGGGGACACACTTGTATATTTATAGAATTGCATGCTAGCCAGTTCAGCTCCTCCAGCGGGAATTCCCAGCATGACCTCATCATCTGTGAAGAAGGACGCAGCAGTCCTTGTTTAGATAGACACCTTCATCTTCTCCAGCTTGAGCTGTTCTCCACTTCTCGCTAGTGCATGTCTACTTGTCCATGTCACAGACATACATTACCTTCCTCGCTCACCAGCTGTTGGAGGTGGGCAGGGCCATGACGATGCCTGGTGCAGCTTATTCTATGTGGTTCTTGGTGGCCCTCTTCCATCAGACCTGGAGTCAGATGGGCTCCCGTAGCCTTTTCTTTTTTACATCTTGCTGAAGCAGAGTTTTGCGGGGGAAATAAAGGAAAAAAGAAACAGAACAGCAAATTTTGCTATTCCCTAGAAGATCTGTTATGAAACAGTCTCTCTGGGGACGGATTCCTAACACTTGTCCATTGAAGATGTAAACCATCTTCCCTCTGGTTCCCCATTCCAAGAGACTGGGTTTTTCTACCTTTCTGAGACAGAGTATCACTGTGTATCCTTGCCTGGCCTGGAACTCACAATGTGGTCTAGGCAGGCTTCGAACTCAACAGATCCCCCTGCCATTGCCTTTCAACTGCTGGAAATAAAGGCTGTACCATATTACCTGGCAAGTTTCACTTTAAACGTGCACATACATGTATATATTAATTATTGGGTATGAATATGAGTGTATGGTCATTAGGGTGCCCAGCCTGTATGTGAAGCTCAGAGGACAACCTCACGAGTTCTCTTTCTGCTGTGGGTTTAGGGATCAAGCTGTGACCATGAGACCCATGGAGCCGTCTCACCAGCATGAGAGACAAAGTTTGTCTTTGTAGTCTAGATTTGCCCCAAATTTTCTATGTATTCCAGACTGGCCTCAAACTCTTGGTTTTCCTCTTTTGGTCTTTCGAGTACTAGAATTCCAGACTCGTGCCTCCATGCCCAGTTAGTCTTACTTTGCTTTTGTTTTGCCTTTCTTGTCTCTAGTCTTTGTGATGGAAGAATCTTTTATTTAATATTTTTTTTTAGGTTGCAGTTTCATCATTATCTGCAGTTATCAAGTTTTTAGAACTCTTGTCAGATGATTCAAATTTTGGACAGTTTGAACTGACTACTTTTGACTTCAACCAATACATGAAATTGGACATGGCAGCAGTTAGAGCCCTCAACCTTTTCCAGGTAAAAAAGACAACATGGGTTAAAAATATTGAAGAATTTAGCTGGGTGGTGGTGGCACTTGGGAGGCAGAGGCAGGTTGTGAATTCTGTGAATTTGAGGCCAGCCTGGTCTACATAGCAAGTTCCAGCACAGCCAGAGATACACAGAAAAATCTTGACTTAGGGAAGAAAAAAAAACCAACAAACTGAGTAATTTTTTTAAAAAAGTTCCCTTTTACATCCCACAGGGCAGGGAACCCTGATTGCTCTTTGGGCTGACGAGGGAGGGGGACTTGATTGGGGAAGGGGGAGGGAAATGGGAGGTGGTGGCTGGGAAGAGACAGAAATCTTTAATAAATAAATAAATAAATTTAAAAAAAGTTCCCTTTTACAAATAATGATCTATGTAAGGAATTTGTATTCTGTAGCATTATTATAGTTAAACTAGATAGTTTTTTAAAAAAACATTTATTTATTATATATAGTGTTCTGCAGGTATGCCTGCCTGCAGGCCAGAAGAGGGCACCAGATCTCATTACAGATGGTTGTGAGCACCATGTGGTTGCTGGGAATTGAACTCAGGACCTCTGGAAGAGCGGCCAGTGCTTTTGACCTCTGAGCCATCTCTCCAGCCCCCATAAGTTGTTTATAATTATTGTATTTTATTTTGCTAGTCTCAGACAGTATGTGTAGACTGTCCTGGTCGTTTGGGTGACTCTGTGTTAACACAGGGCTTTACAGTCCTGTTCTGAGTTCGTTTAGACACTGCAGTCACTGTGAGCCAGCTGAAGGTGAAGTGTGTGTCTGTCAATGCGGATGCACAGGTTTTGCCTTAGAGGAAGGATTGTGGGCAGTTCCCAGTGTATATTTGGAGAGCAGTGCTCACTATTCCAGTTCTGTTTCATGGCAGGATTAAACTCTTTGCTGATGGTTTTTTCATTTCGTGTGTTACTAGGGTTCTGTTGAAGATACCACTGGCTCTCAGTCTCTGGCTGCATTACTGAATAAGTGCAAAACTGCTCAAGGACAAAGATTGGTCAACCAGTGGATTAAACAGCCTCTCATGGACAAGAACAGAATAGAAGAGAGGTACAGCATTTAGTGTGCGCTTCTCCTGCCTTTGTGCAATTCACTGTTGACCCTGTATTCTGATAGACTGTATTCACTGTTGCCACGTATTCTCACGTATTCTGTTTTCTTTTCTTTTTTCTTTTTTTTTTTTCCTTTTTTTTGGTTTTTCAAGACAGTTTCTCTGTGGTTTTGGAGCCTGTCCTGGAACTAGCTCTTGTAGACCACATTGGTCTAGAACTCACAGAGATCCGCCTGCCTCTGCCTCCCGAGTGCTGGGATTAAAGGCGTGCGCCACCACCGCCCAGCTGCCACATATTCTGATAGACAGTTTACAGTCAGTTTATTTCTTGTTTTATTGTGTTGTGGGTCCTGAACTGACCTTGAACTCATATTTAGTTGAGGGTGAATTTTAACCTTTAAAAACATTTTAATTATATGGTGTGTGTGTGTGTGTGTTTGAGGGGTGCTTACAGGGTGTAGAGCATACATCTGTAGAGTCCATTCTCCTTCCACCTTAATGTAGATGCCAGGGTTCTAACTCAGATACAGTCAGGTTTCTCAGTGAGGGTCGTCATCCCAGCCATCCTGGCCCCCGTCTCCCAGGCACTGGTGTCGGTGGCGCCACCCCTAACTACGCGGTGCTGGAGGTGGAAGCTGAACTGGAAACTCAATCCAGGGTGTTGTACTGAGCTCTTTCCCTAGCCCAGCTAACCTTTCTTCGTGTTTTAAAAGTTATTTTTACTTATTATTTGTGGGAGGAGCACAAGTGGAGGGCAGAGGACAACTTTTCTGGGGTTCTTGTTATGCCTAGGCGGTGTGCGCCGCGAGGAAGGTGAGATACCACTCAAGGCTCCAGAGACCCTAATAATTCACTCCAGGAGCGGTCCCTGATGGGGCAGGGCAGCAGGACAAGGACTCTGGAGCCCCAAGCAGGTGCAGAGGTGGGGTTTATGCGCACAGAAGTCACAAACAGTGGTCAGAAGTTAACGACGGGGACTTTCCTTGTGTTTCCATTGTTGTCAGCTGACACACAGTGCAAGCCTTTCAGTCTGACCAGCCTTCTGTTGTTAGGAACAGCCATGATGTTTCTGAAAAACTAAGGACTGTTTCTGTGGTTTGGGGAGGAGGTTGACCAGCCTTTGGAAAGTTTTAGCTCTCCTTCCTACAGCTTGGGAACTTGAATAGAATAGAATCTGAAGTCAAAACGATAGTACTTAGGCCGAGGTACTTTTGCCTGCTCTCTTCATCCTGAGAATTGACTTCAGGTCCTTTTTTTCTGGATGAGCCTTCCACTGCCACGGCAGCTTTTTTTTTTAAAAGATCAGACTTGCTCTGTTTAGATTTATCTAGTTTATGGGTATGGATGTTTTGTCTGTGTACCACATGTGTGCTTGGTGCCTGTGGAGGTCAGAAGAGGGCATCAGGTCCTCTGGGACTGGAGTTACAGATGGTTTTGAGCTGCCATGTGGGTACTGGGAATCCACCTGGATTTTCTTTAAGAGCAGCCAAGTGCTTTTAACTGTTGATCTGACTCTCTAGCCTTTACTGGTTTAAAAGAAATGATAGAATACTGTTGATTTTTGAGACACTATGTAGGCCTAGCTGGACTGGAACTGGATATGTAGACCAGGCTGGCCTTGAACTCCTTAGAGATTGTCTTACCTCTGCCTCCAGAGACCTGACGTCAAAGGTGTGCCCTATCACAACCAGCCCTGTTTTTTTTTATTTTTTTTTTCTTTTCTGTTTTTTATTTTTATTTATTTATTTTTTTAGACAGGTAGGGTTTCTCTGTGTAGCCCTGACTGTCCTGGAACTATGTAGACCAGGCTGATCTCAAACTTACAGAGATCTGCCTGCCTCTTGCCTCCCTAGTGCTGTGTTTAAAGCATGGGTCACCTACTGCCTGGTGATGGCTCTACTTCTTCTTTTTTCTATTTATTCATTCATTCATTTATTTATTTAAGATTTCTGTCTCTTCCCCGCCACCGCCTCCCATTTCCCTCCCTCTCCCCCAATCAAGTCCCCCTCCCTCGTCAGCCCAAAGAGCTATCAGGGTTCCCTGCCCTGTGGGAAGTCCAAGGACCACCCACCTCCTTCCAGGTCTAGTTAGGTGAGCATCCAAACTGCCTAGGCTCCCACAAAGCCAGTACGTGCAGTAGGATCAAAAACCCATTGCCATTGCTCTTGAGGTCTCAGTAGTCCTCATTGTCCACTATGTTCAGAGAGTCCGGTTTTATCCCAGGCTTTTTCAGACCCAGGTCAGCTGGCCTTGGTGAGTTCCCGATAGAACATCCCCATTGTCTCAGTGTGTAAGTGCACCCCTCGCGGTCCTGAGTTCCTTGCTCGTGCTCTCTCTCCTTCTGTTCCTGATTTGGACCATGGCTCTACTTCTTAATAAGCTTATTTGACATAAACCATCAGCTTATGCAAGACCTCCTGGTCCCTACTTTCCTAATTCTTTCCTATTTTTTCATCACTGATATTCCTCCCTGGGACCCTGTCACTGAGGAGTAACCCGCTGATCCAGGTTCTATCTGAGTGTATGCACATCATGTGTGTGAGCTCCTGAGGCCATCAGAAGAGGGGTGTCGGATTCTGAAACAGGTTATACGCAGTTGGACTCCTGAAATAACCACACAGAAACTGTATTAATTAAATCACTGCCTGGCCCATTAGCTCTGGTTTCTTATTGGCTAACTCTTACATGTTACATTTCTATTAATCTGTGTATCACCATTGGCTGTGGCTTACCGGCAAGGTTCTATACATTGTCTGTCTGTCTGGGCTACATGGCTTCTCTTTGACTCCACCTCCTTTCTCCCAACATTCAGTTTAGTTTTCCCCACCTAGTTCTGCTCTATCTTATCACAGGCCCAAAGCAGCTTCTTTATTAACCAGTGGTATTCATAGCATACAGAGGGGAATTCTGTATTAGTGAGCTGGTACATGGGTACTAGGAATCAAAACTGCTTTCTCTGGAAGAGTAGCCAGTTCTGTCATTTCTCCAGATTCCAGGAAACCATATGTTGAGTTGGTGAAAGGCTCAGGTGGTTGCTCCCAAGCCTGGTGACCTAGTTCATCAGAGGGAGAAAGCTGACTCTTGAACTTTGTCCTTTGATCTCCATGTGTGTGCTGTACGTGTATAAGTACACACACAGAGATAAGTGTAATAATTTAAAAAAAAAACCATGTTTTTATGATTAAATTCCAAAGAGTTCTGTTGGAATTTTAGGGATTAACTGACCCTAAAAATTTATCGTGCATTCCAGTTAAATTGTGATTTAATATAATATTAATTTTGTGCAGCTGAGAGATTGAATTCAATATGACTGATGGGTATACTCTGTTAATGCCAGTGGTAGCTTTGATATGTCTAAATTTGTGATTTTTAAAGTGACATTGTCAAGGAGACAGAAGTCTCTCCCTTTTCACTGTTATCTAGAAATGTAAACTGACACTGTAATTACTTCTGAAGTGGTTTACTGAACAGCTTCTGAAACTAGCAATTCATCCTGGGCCAGACAGACGGAGCTTTGCAATTGCTGTGTGCTAGTGCATTGGTTTTGCTTTGAGGAAGGGTGTCATGTAACTCTGTCCGTTCCCACCCCCACAGGGTTTTTTGTTGTTGTTGTTATTGTTTTTTTTTTTTTTTTTTCTGTGTAGCCCTGTCTGTCCTGGAACTCAGCCACTGTCCAGGATGGCCTTGAACTCACAGAGATCTACCCGCCTTTACCTCCACAGTGCTGGGATTAAAGCACACCACCCAGCTTTCTTCATCTTTCAAAGCTGCTTCTTTTCTTCCTTTTTTAAGTTAGCACCATATGTGGTGCTGGTTGTGTTGGCTTTTGCCTTGAGCGAGCCTCCCTCCCTCCTCCCTCCCTCCCTCCTTTTCTCTCGCTCTCTTTTTAAAATTATTTTAACTTTATTTTATGTGCATCAGTGTGAGGGTATCAGATCCCCTGGAACTGGATTTACAGACAGTTGTGAGCTGCCATTTGGGTGCTGGGAATTGAACCCAAGTCCTCTGGAAAAATAGCCAGTGCTCTTAACTTCTGATAGCTACTGAACTATCTCTCCAACCCCATGGCTGGCTGGCTGGCTGGCGCTCTCTCTCTCTCTCTCTCTCTCTCTCTCTCTCTCTCTCTCTCTCTCTCTCTCTAGATATTATATATCTTTATATATATTTAAAAAACACACACATATATTTTTTTTTCTTTTTGGTTTTTTCGAGACAGGGTTTCTCTGTGGCATATATATTTTTTTAAATGAATGTGTGCGTGTGTATGTTTGGCATACTCCTAGAAGTCAGATGACAACTTGGGCCATGTGGATCCCCTGGTGTTTGAACTCAGGAACTCAAGCTTGGTGGCAAGTGCCTACCTATTGAGCCAACTTACCTTTTATTCTAATATTTTTTTCCAGATTAAATTTAGTGGAAGCTTTTGTAGAAGATTCAGAACTGAGGCAGACCTTACAGGAGGATTTACTGCGTCGATTTCCAGATCTTAACCGACTTGCCAAGAAATTTCAGAGACAAGCGGCGAACTTACAAGACTGTTACCGAATATATCAGGGTGTGAACCAGCTCCCCAGTGTCCTGCAGGCTCTGAAGAAATACCAAGGTAATGACAACTTTGCTTTTCTTAACTCTTGCTTTTTTTTAAAAAAATTATTTTACTTTATGTGCATTGGTGTTTCACCTGCATGTGTGTGTCTGTGTGACGGTGTCAGATTCTCTGGAACTGGAGCTACAGACAGGTGTGAGCTGCCATGTGGGTGCTGGGAATTGAACCCAGGTCCTCTGGAAGAGCAGACAGTGCTCTTAACTGCTGAGCTATCTCTCTAGCCACAACTCTTGTTTTATTTATTTATTTATTTTTTAGATTTTTTTCTTTTCCTCAACCCTGTTTTACTTCACTCTCGCATGCTGGGCAGATGTACAGTTCTTTATGAAAGGCAGGTCTAGTGCCCCCTCTGATGATTAGCTTCTCATAGGTTTGTGTTGAGCTGTACGCTATGGCAGAAGCCAGAAGTCTTGAGATAATTTGGAATGCCCACTACTTAGCATTCTGTGTGTGTATATTGCAATACTGGGGGGTTAGATGTGACTTTGGCGCTTTCGAAATAAATATTCACCAAGACTGGTGGCTCAGTCCTATATCACAGCTCAGGCAGGAGAATAAATAGCAACTACAGACCTACCTAGGGTATAGAGTAAGTTCAAAATCAGCCAGGGCATTTCAGTGAGATTCCTGCAGCTAAACAAACAATAGTCCAGGAAGAAGAGGCAGGCACATCCCTGTAAGTTTGAGACAAACCTGTTCTACATAGCAAGTTCCAGCCAGCCAGGGCTGTCCAGCGAGACCCTGTCTCGTAAAAAACAACCACTAAATAAGCAGAAAGTAGGCCAGACATGGTGTGCAAGCCTTTAGATCCAGCACTCAAGATCAAGAGGTAGAGGCAGGTGGATTTCTGAGTTTGAGACCAGCCTGGACTAGCCGCAGAAGAAGACCCTATCTCTAAGAAAAGGAGGTAAACAATAGCCTGGGATGTGGTTCAGTGGTCAAGCACTGGCCTAGCACACACAGTTTCTAGTACTCTGACCCAGTTACAGAGCAGTGTTATGTTACTGGGTTTATTATTACTAATGGATTAGTCACATGGTAGCAGGAGGTTGAACAGTGCCGTTGCTGGACTCCCAGGACAGTGTGTACAGCTGTAGCTGGCTATAGGAGAAGGGAACAGCCCAGCAGGAACGGGAGATAGCAGGGTGTACATCTTGCTCTTTGGAGCCACAGAGCACAAGGTGGAATCCTATGCGGACTGTGAAGATGTTTTCCGGGGGCAAAGGGATATGGCTCAATTGGTAGAGTGCTTGCCTGGCTTGCACAAAACCTTAGGCTCAGTCCTCAGTAGTGCGGAAGGAGAGGTGTGGAGGCACACTCCCTGAAGTAAGCAAAGGCCACCTTCAGCTGCTGAGAGTTTGAGGCTAGTCTGGGTTAGAGTTCTTGTCTCAAAGCCAAATAAACATTTATTTATTGTCCAGGGAGCATTTTCCTGTTTGATAACTAAGCCCCACAGCAGGGCTACTCTGAAATTCTACCACTTTGTATGTTTATGTTTGTGTGTTTATTATAGTTAGGCTTTAACAAGCACACTTGAACCTTAACAAAAGAAACAGGCAAATTGGGCTCTGCCAGAACCTGTGTTCCTAATTCCTCCAAATGCTAGGTTGGAGGACTAACTTGGGTTTGAGACCAGCCTGGCCATTCAGCAAAACCCTATCTCAACAGCAAGCCAACAGGCTGACTTAAGACCTGGTAGAATTAACTCCCAGAGCATATCCCATGACAGGACAGAGGGTCTCGGTATTCTCACAGTTGAGGTCAGAGTGAAGTTCTTAGCTAGGTGTGGTGGCGGAAGCTTATTAGCCAGTCCCTGAGAAGTAGAAGAATCAGGAAGACCAGGAATTTTGTGTGATCCTTGACTATATAGTGAGTGAAGGGACCCGCGTACTTTGGGGTGCTCCTCATTGGACCCTGGGTTAGGCCCGGACTACATCCAAATACAAAGAGATCCTTTTTAAGCAAGGCAGAGAGACAAGGTGACTGAGTCAGAATCCAGCAAATAGCTTTGCAAGTGTTAATTTTAAGAGGGAAAGAGTGGAATGCGCTGAGATGGGCTGATAAGTCCTGATGGGGCATTTAAACTAGGGTAGTCAAATGGGGATCTTTGTTTTTTTTTTAACAGCAATTTCAATGTTTATTCAGACTTCAGATTTTTACTGATTGTGGCATAATCTGTATGATAGACACCAGTGCATAGTAACTGGAAGAAAAGCATAAGTATGGAAATTGAAATCCTTGCAAAAAAAAAAAATGGGAATCTTTGATTGGTGAACTTTGGTGATCCATCTTAGGAATGAGTCAGGCATAAGAAAGGGGCCAAATAAGGGAATAGACCTTGCCGACTAGCTTTAAAGGGATGTAATCTAGGGTTTAGCAAGGGAAAGGGGAGGGGGAAGGATAAGGCCTGTCCACAGGCCAGGACCTGCTGGAGCCCTTAATGTGAGCTCAAGGTCAGCGTAGACCACACAGTACCCTGTCTCAAAAAAAGTTACCAACGTAAACAAATAGAATATTAGTGAGTAAAGTCAACTGACTTGACCAATGTGTGTGTGTGCGCGTTGTGTGGTTTATGGATGTAAACGCAGTGTATGCACCCATGCATACATGTGGCCAGAGCAACATGTCAGGTGTTTTCTGTGCTCTCTGTCTTCCTGCCTGGGAACAGGGTTTCTCTCTGAGTCAGATACTTGCCTTTCTAATGGGGTTGACTGGCCTGTGAGGTGAGCTCTGGGGACCTGTGCTACTGCTCAGAGTGAGGTCATAGGCAGGCGCAGTCATGCCTTACTCTTTATTTGGGTGCTAGCATTTGAGCTTAACCCCCACGAGTTAAATAGAACAAGAGCCCTTACCTGTAGCTTTTACCTTGAAATGAATGTAAGTCTCTTCAGCATCAATTTCAGTTTCTAGAGTGTTATTAAGTCTCTAATATGTAAAGCATTTTAAGTTTCAACCAAACATCAACAGCTCTGAGAACTACTAAAACAAACCCCTTGGGGCTCAGTAGTGGAGGGTTTGTGTGCCTGACTGGGTTTGAGTCCCAGTATTATGAAGAAGATCTTTTAGTATTATGGAAAGATTTGGTTCTTTTCCAGGTAGATTTAAATTCAGGTTCATGATGACAAAATACACATTAAATTTTGAAAGTTAAAATAGTTCTTGGGACCAGGCAGTAATGGCGCAAGCCTTTAATCCCAGCACTCTGGAGGCAGAGGCAGAGGCAGGTGGATCTCTGAGTTCGAGGCTAGCCTGGTCTACAGAGCGAGTTCCGGGACAAGCTCCAAGCCACAGAGAAATTCTGTCTCAAAAAATCAAAAAAGAAAAAAAAAAAGTTCTTGGAATGTCCCGGTTCCATACTCTGACTAATTTCTGCTCTTTGTACCTCATTTTTCCCATTGTATAAATGAGTAGCATTTGGATTTCCATATTATATCAATTTGTCTGGTTTCAACTAGATCATCAAACAATATAAGGTGATTGCATTAGGGATGCAATATGACTATGGAGATAGGCTCTCTAAACAATAAAGTCAGCTGTTTTGGACTCTGTTTTTTTATGTGTTTCTCACCTTATAAAGTAAACAAATATCCTTTTGTTTTCTGACAACTCCAGCCCATACTTTTTAAACCATTCAGTTACCTAATTTATTTGTTTTGGTCTTTTTGAGACAGGGTCTCATGTACCCTGGCTGGCTTGGAACTTGCTGTGTAGATGAGGCTGACCTCAAACTCGCAGAGATGCCTGCCTCTGCCTCCTGAGTGCTGAGATAAAAGGCGTGTGCTGCTGCTGTCCATCTCTCTGTGTGAACTAGCACTTTAAAATTTTCCCATTTGCTGTTATTTTCTTTCTTTTTTATTCTGAGACAGGGTTTCTCTACGTATCCCTGGCCCTTTTGGAAATCAAGCTGTAGACCAGGCTGACCTCGAACTCAGAGATCCATTTTCCTCTGCTTCCTGAGTGCTGGTATTAAATGCCTGTACCACCACTGCCTGGCTACATTTGCCCTGTTTTCAAAAACAGATCCTAAGGCTGGGCGTGTGGCGCACACTTTTAGTTCCAGCACTTGGGAGGCAGAGGCAGGTGGATCTGAGTTTTAGGCTAGTCTGGTCTACAGAGTGAGTTCTAAGACAGCCAATACTCTGTAGAGAGATTCTATCTCAAAAGATAAACAAAACCCAAGCTAAATCAATACAAAATCTGTGTCTTTTTGATACCAGTATTTCTTTCTCTTCCTGTTTGAGTTTCTGAAAGCCTGCACTGCTTTTCATCTTTTCTTCACCCATGTGCGTAATTCCGTCCTAGAACATGGGACCAGGTTGGCATTTGCTGAGTTAGCTGTTTGCTGCTAAGTCTGGCAAGCAGATGCAGCCTGAGCTGGTAGACTCTTTGCTGCCGTCTTGTTCTGTTGTGTTCCTGGTTTCTTGTTCTGTGGGTAATTCTATCCCCGTTAGTTTTGAAAAGTTCAGCACAGTTTCTTAGTTTCACAGAGAAAACCAAACAGACTAATTTGTAATAAAAGAGAATAAAACAAGTGTAATATTTTTAGAGCAAAGTTACGATTTTAAAATACATTAGCATATATTATTTCTAGAAATCACATATAACTTGTCATCTTGTGATTCCAGTTTTGATTAATTCTAGGCTTAACTGTCAGGCTAGAAAAAAAGCCGAAAGTAATGTCTGTTCCCAGTCAGCAGGGGGCAGCAGCGGTACGGAAAGTAGATTTGTGGGATTAAAGTTTTCTCTGTGAGAAACAGGCACTTGCTGACTTATTTGGAGGTTCTAGCAGGGTGATACAGCTGCTCAACATCCTTGACAAAAGGACATCTCTCTCTCGGGGAAGGTGGCTGCATAGCTTTAGTTGGGGTCCCATGGAGCCTTAGGGAAGGAATGACACCTGTCTTCGTTACTGTCCTGTTTCTGTGAAGAGACACCATGACCACAGCAACTCTTATAAAGGAGAGTGTTCAATTGGGGTTGACTCTCTTATAGTTCAGAGGTTTAATCCATTATCATCATGGTGGGGAGCATGATGGCTTACAGGTAGATGTGGTACTGGCTACATCTTGATCATAGGCAACAGGAAGTGGACTGAGACACTCGGCAGTATCCTGAGCATAGGAAGCCTCCACAGTGACACACTTCCTCCACAAGGCCACACCCACTCCACCAAAGCCATAGCTTCTAATAGTGCTACTCCCTATGTGATTATGGGGCCAGTCACATTCAAACCACCACAGCACCTGTACAAAGAGCGATGTGCTAAACTAGGTCACCCTCACAGTCATCTCAGAAATGCTGGGTATAATCTAAAGGAACAAATTTCCAGCAGGCTAAACAGCTCACCAGCTAGGTGTACAGATTATTTCATGCCCAATTTAGCCTCGATTTTGCTTAAGATATTACAACTATCTTAAAAAGTATCATTTTGTGTGTGTTTTGCTTACACATATGTTACATATACATGTGTCTGTATATGTACCGTTTCGTGACTGGTGCTCACTGAGGTTAGAAACAGGTGGTCAGATCCCTTGGAACTGGAATCACAGACAGTGGGTGCTGGGGCTCGGACCCTGATCCTCTGGAAGAACAACCAGTGCTCCTAACCATTGACGCATCTCACCAGCCCCCTGCTGTTACAATTTGGATGGAGATGCATTGAATCTTTAGGTTGCTTTTTTAAAAAAATTTATTTATTATGTATACAATATTCTTGTCTGTGTGCATGTCTGCAGGACAGAAGAGGGCACCAGACCTCTTTACAGATGGTTGTGAGCCACCATGTGGTTGCCGGGAATTGAACTCAGGACCTTTGGAAGAGCAGGCAATGCTCTTAACCACTGAACCATCTCTCCAGCCCCTGTTTAGGTTGCCTTTTTTTTAAAAAATTATTTATTTATTATATATACACTTTCCAGGATACAGTGCCAGATCTCATTACAGATGGTTGTGAGCCACCGTGTGGTTGCTGGGAATTGAACTCAGCAGCCAGTGCTCCCAACCTCTGAGCCATCTCTCCAGCGCCCTCTTTAGGTTGCTTAATGCACCATTTTCACAATATTCTGCCAGTCTGCAAGCATGGGTGTCTTCAGTTTCTCTCTCCACCCTGACACTTCACACTTCAATTCATTTAGGAAGCTTACAGTTCCCAGCATGATCTCTGAAATCCACAGTCCTTATTTGGTAACTGTAAGTGCCAGAGTTAATGGCCAGTGCTTGATTATTTTGTGTTTCCTGTGCTTGTGCCCTCTTAGCAGGTGACTGCCAACTGTCTGCTCTGTGCTTATGGCACCACAAGACTGAGTAACAGTGACAGCTGTGGTCCTTTCTCTTGTGGAGAGTCCTTGAGAATGGAAGGGCAGAAGAGATAATAAGGAAATAAATAAGCGAGACTTTCAAATGCATAGTAAAATATGATGAAGAAAACTGCAGCTTAGGGAAATGCTAGGTGCAGTCAAAGGCATCTATTTTTTTTTTTTTTTTTTTTTGGTTGGGGGCGGCGAGTTTCAAGACAGGGTTTCTCTGTGTAATAGCCCTAGCTGTCCTGGAACTAGCTCTGTAGACTAGGCTGGCCTTGAACTCACAGAGATCCACCTGCCTTTTAAGTGCTGGAATTAGAGGTGTGCACCATCACTGTCTGGCTTCTCTATTGAGACTGGAGAGACAGCTCAGCACTTAGGAGCACTGGCTGCTCCTCTAGAGGTCCTGGGTTTGATTCCCAGCACCTACTTGGTGGCTCATAGCCATCTGTAAATCCAGTTCCAGGGCATTTGACGCCCTCTTCTGGCTTCCTGGGGTACCACATAGAAAACCCATATACTTAAGGTTTTAAACTTTGAAGAAAGGAATTGCTGTTGTTATATGTAGTGGCTGACAGCTGTAATCCCAACTTGATAAACTGAGGCAGGAGGGAGGAATGCCATGAATTCAGAGCAGTTGGGAGAGAGTGAGCAAAAGAGATTACTTTCTGACGTCGGGCTTGGATGGTGAAACAGAGCCAACTTCTAAGACTGGGGAGCTGCTGTATTGGCCAGGGAAGCATTTAAGACTGACAGGGTTAGATGTGTGTAAGGAGTGAACTAAGGGAAGTGGTTAGTTACCAGACAACGACCAAGAACGGTAGGAATCTAGCGTGGTTCTCTCTCCTTAAGATTAAAACAAAAGGCGCTTACTTAAAAAACAAAACAAAAACAGATTCTTTTTTCTTTTCTTTTTTGGTTTTGTTATTGTTTTTTTTTAAGATATGGTTTCTCTGTGTAACAGCCCTGGTGGCTGGCCTGGAACTCATTCTGTAGACTGGGTCGGCCTTGAATTCACAGTGATTTACCTGCCTCTGCCTCCTGAGTATTGAGATCAAAGGCACGTGCCACCCTACCCAATGGCAGGGTGTTTGCTTTTCCTAGAGTCCAGTTTCAGTAAATTATAGATTTGCACCGAGGGTCAGAATTCCGCCCACGTGTCTGTTGCTAGGCTTTCTTCCCTTTTAGGCGTTGGCAGACCTTTTCTGCCCTTCGTCTGCACATCTTAATGGAAAGCAGAGTGGACATTTAACACCCGAGATCTTTGTTGCTAAGGTTCGCTCTTGATGGGAGTAGTTAGGTTTTTTTGAGACAGGCTCTCATAGTATAGTCTGGGCATCCTCAAAGCTCGTGACTCTCCCACCTCGGTCTAAAGTGCTGGGTTGCAGGGTCACACTGCTGTATCCCATTGAAGGCATTAATGAAGTAGGGAGGAAATCATCTCTGATCCAGGATCACTGTTTTGCTTGGCTGCCATTCATCCTTTTACCAGTAGTTTCTAAGCCAAGGGGATAAAGAGCCAGGCATTGTAACACAACAGACACTATGTAGGCAAAGTGTTGTTTACAGTCTGTCTAAATGTTTCACACGTATGAACTGTTTTCTCAGTGTGTCAGAGGCTGTTGTGATTAATAATGAAACATGACTCCCTGATAGCGTTTCATAATTCTCGTTCAAGAGCTACTGAAAATGAAATTTATTACTTCAGTAATAAATTCAGTGTGCCAGGGATCACTTGCAGAATTCTTGTACGAATTTATTGGCGATGAGGAGGAAAAAAATCTTTGTGTTCCAAGTTGTGATTGTAGATAAGGTTTTTCTGCCCTGACCGCCTGCTCCCAGATAGCCGACACAGAGGCTTAGTGTTATTTATAAATGCTCGACCGATAGCTCAGGCTTGTTAACTAACTCTCACACTTAGATTAACCCACATTTCTTACCTGTGCTTTGCCATGTTGTTCATGGCTTGTTACCTCATTTTCTGTATGTCCTGCTTCCTTGGCAGTTGGCTGATCCTTTCTGATCTGCCCTTCTTCATCCCATCCTTCTGAGTTTGGCTTTCCGGCTAAAGTGTTCAGCTGTTATCCTGTCCAGCTATTGGCCAGTCAGCTTGTTTATTATACCAATCATAGTGACATATTCACACAGTATACAGGATTACTCCACACCAACCTATTCCTAGTGGTCGTGTACAGTGACTGTTCAGTGCGGAGCACTGCCTGGGTGCTGCTTCACGCACCTGTCCTCTGGCTGGTCGTCATTGTTCCAACAGGGAAAAAGGGCTGGGGACACCAAAGGGCAGAAAGCCTGGGGCTGGCATCCAGCTGTGTTGATCCTGTTCCCTCCTCTCTTAATTCCCCAGCTTGACTCTTACATAGCCAAGTTCAGTTTAAATGCTTGACTTGATTGAGCCCCTGTTAACTGGAACGCCGTGTTGTTAATGGAGATTAGAAATGGAAATTAGAGGTCTTATTTTAATGGCTTTGACTTTGTCTTATTAGATCTGCAAGAAACAGTGTTCATTTAGTCGTAATTAATGTTTCTGCATCACTTATGAAGGAGACGACAGACACGCAGGAAGGGTGCATTCGTAGGAGGCGTGGGCGCTGCACAGTATTTCCGCGTCTGTAGAATGAATGCGGTGTTCATCTTGATTAAAACATAAAAGCAGAATGACGTTTGGAGACCTGCACAGTTTGTGCTTTGTGGTTCAAGTGGTGTTCATTATTTTAGTTTTGTTGTGGGCTGTTGTCTTTATTTTTGTTTTTCTTTGTTTTAGGAAGACACCAGGCATTGTTGTCGGCAGTTTTTGTGACTCCTCTTACTGATCTTCGCTCTGATTTTTCAAAATTTCAAGAAATGATAGAAACAACTTTGGATATGGATCAGGTATGCAGTTTACATTTAATCCCACAGCAAAATATTTTTGGAAAAGAAAATAAGCATAAACAAAGCTAAAAAGAGCAAACGAGAAAAAAAATGTCTAATTTCTCTTGAGGTTTTTTTTTTTTTTTTTTTTTTTTTGCTTTTAAGTGTGGCACCTTTGGAAGCCAGTCGATGTAAATTTAAATGGTAGACAAGGAAGAAATGGCTTCGATAGGCGGTCCTGGGGCTCAAACCCAAGGCCTTGAATGTGGCGGGCAAGTGTCTTATCCCTGTGCTCCATCCAGCCCAGTCCAGTAATCACTTCAGTGAAGAGAAAGGCTGCGGTAGGGGTTGTTGCGTGCGTGTGTGTGTGTGTGTGTGTGTGTGTGTGTGTGTGTGTATACTGGTGCAGGAGTCGGGTGTGTGTGGGCAGGCACGGGGGTGACTCAGTGTCTCCTGCCTCAGCTCAGAGTGCAGGATTAAAGGGTGCACCACTGAAAGAAGTGACCCCCTAAGTGACCCCGAATGTTCAGTGAATTATATTTTATTTTATTTTTTTTTTAATTGTTTTTTTTTTAAATATTTATTTTATTATGTATACAATATTCTGTCTGTGTGTATGCCTGCTGGCCAGAAGAGGGCACCAGACCCCGTTACAGATGGTTGTGAGCCACCATGTGGTTGCTGGGAATTGAACTCAGGACCTTTGGAAGAGCAGGCAATGCTCTTAACCTCTGAGCCATCTCTCCAGCCCCGTGAATTATATTTTAATTCTAAAATAGAAGGGACTTTAGTTGCTGGAGAAGTTGGCCATGGTGTTCGAGTTTAGGCGCAGTGTGGACTGTAATGTAAGATTGTCTCAAAAAGTAGAAGTTAGGGGTAAATGAAAACGTTTCTGTTTTTCCTGTAGCGAAGTTGTTTTGGGGAAGGTGAGGTTAATTTGTGCTTAAAATGTGCATAAGTGGTTTTTTTTTTTAAAGACTTATTATGTGTGTGTGTTTGCCAGCATGCATGTCTACACTGTATGTTCTGGCCCCCACAGAAGCCAGAGAGGTCATCTGATTGCCTGAACTGGATGTAGATGATTGTGAGTTGCCATGTGGTGCTGGGAACCGAGCCTGGATCCTCTGCAAGAGCGTCAGGTGCTCTTAACACTGATCATCTCTCCAGCCCTTCTTTGGGTGTTTGGAGATAGAATCTTATGTCCCTCTGGCCGAGGCTGGTCTCCAACTCAAGGCAGTTCTCCTGGCCGCCCATTTTAAGTGCTGGGAGTACAGGCATGCAGCGCACTGTCCATCTTGAAACTTTTCTAAACTTAAAAACAAAAACCTCAAACACAAAATAAAAAAACCTGGGCAGTGCTGGTTCACGTCTTTAATCCCAGCACTGGGGAGGCAGAGGCAGGTGGATCTCTGTGAGTTCAAGGCCAGCCTGGTCTACAGAGTGAGTTCCAGAACAAGCTCCAAAGCTACAGAACCCCCTCTCCCAAAGACCTAAGCTAAATTTCCAATTAATTGACCATGCAAGAAATTTGTACTCAAATTACTGATATTCAGGTAATGCAGGTAATGATTTGGTTGGCTGAATTGTTAGTCTATGGTTCTTAGTACTTGTAGATTTATTTGCATTAATAATTTGCCCTATGTGATGTTGATTTATTTTGGTCTTATTAGGTTATGTTTGTTATTTGTATTTATGTGTGTATGCAGGTGTGAGGGCATATTCTAAAAAAAGTAAAGTAGCAATTACAGTTTTAAAAGGCTAAGATAGGATAGATTTTAATTAGAATTGCTACATCCAGTGAGACCCTGGTTTCTTGAACTCTATGATTTTAATTTAATCAAAGCCAGTTTCCTTTTTGGTGAGCCAGCATCCCGAGCCCTGCCATGCGCCATGATGGGGTCGTTTGAAGCAGTTAGTTGTGTGGAGTCATGGTGATGATTGCCTGAGCTAAGCCCAGTTGCTTACAGTGTTGGCTTCCTCCAGACGGGCGGAGGACTGCTGTGCCTGGTCACTGTAACTGGAGGATCTCACCGTTTGCACTTGGGAGCTTACTGTGTCCATGTCCACGCCTCTAACCTTATCCCAGGTTATAAGGCAAATTCAAGCTCTCACTGTTAACACAGATATTTGTGATGATTGTAGGCATTTAAATTACATTTTTAGACCCACTTTGAGAAATCCTCTCGGGACTCTTCAACTTCCTATCTCATCTTTGAAAGCCTCACTGTTTTCCAGCTGTGCTCTTAGGAGTTCATGCGAATGAAGGAGCCTTCATTTACTCAGTGTGCCGTGTGCTCCTCCCCGCCAGCTTTCTAAGTGTTTCTGTGGCTGCTTTCCATAAGTCCTCTTTTTTCCTACTTTTGAAATAAATGTAGATCAGAATTATCCTAAGCCAAGATTTCAAGAAGGCGTTGATTTTCACAGAACTAAACACTTTTCCTTTATTGGTGTTTTAGTGAATTATATCAATTCTTAAGATTTTTTTTTGACAGTTTTGACCATGTATACTATTTATCTTAAACATAATCCAATCCAAGTCTTTCCACTTGCCCTGGCTCTCCACCCCATGTCTTCTGCTATCTAGTTAGTCCTGCCCACATGCTCGTGAGTGTGGAGCCACCCAGTGGCAACCTACCAAAGGCCACTCCAGAAGACAAACGACTTCCCTTCCCTCGGAGTAGCTGTGACTGTCAGTAGTGCTTCATTTATTGGGGAGCGTCATGCACCCCTTGTATCCGTGCTGGAATGTTTACTGGCTTGACCTTATTATTTAGCTAATTATAAATTATATATATTGTGTGTGCGTGCACGTGTAGAGATCAGAGGACAACGTGAGGGAATTAGTTTTCGTGTGTGTCCTGCAACTCAAACTCAGGGTGTCAGGCTCGGCAACAAGCACCTTGATTTCTGAGCTGTCTTCCTGACCCCAGTGATTATTTTTAAAGATGCTGCTGTACTTGTTGAAGATAGGCTCTCTGATTAAATGTTCATGCCTCCCCCAGCATTTCCCTCTCCCTGGAGTTCAGCTGTTTGGAGAACTTAAGACTTTAAAAGAAATTCTTTTGAGTTGTCTTTCTCTTTCATTATTTTCAAACATTACCAATTTTGTACCCTCTTATTGTTGTTTTTACTTTGAGTGTATTGTGTGCAGGTGTCCAGGAAAGTCAGAAGAGGGCATGGATCCCTTGGAGCCAGAGTTACAGGTGGTTGTGAGCCACCTGCTCTGGTTACTGGAAACTCTTAGCCACTGAGCCATTTCTCCAGTCCCCTTTTATTTGTGTGGTGGGAGAGTGGGCATGGCGTGTCTGGAGGTTTATTAAGTGTTTGACATTTTACTTCCCTTCAGTGTTTCTCTTTACCTGAAGGCATTCCACAGGTTTAAGAAGGAATGATTTACTCGATTTGGTTTATTTCCATTATCAGTTATTTAGAAGAATGTTGATCTGTGCCCGTTTTCAAACGTTCTTCACCCACTCGAGATCGAGCATGTTTTCTAGCTTTGGGGAAAGTAATGTAGGTTTCTTTTTCTTTTTTTCTTTCTTTCTTTTTTTTTTTTTTCAAGACAGGGTTTCTCTGTAGCTTTGGAGCCTGTCCTGGAGCTAGCTAGCTCTTGTAGACCAGGCTTGTCTTGAACTCACAGAGATCCACCTGCCTCTGCCTCCCAAGTGCTGGGATTAAAGGCGTGCATCACCACTGCCTGGCTAATGTGGGTTTCTTACCAGTTGAACTTTTATCATTATTTAGGTATGGTATCTTGGGTGATAATTTTTGTCTTGGATTTGATTTTGTCTAATAGAAAAGATAGTAGCTTGGTCTATGGCATGATAAAGAATTCCCCTATGTGGTCCCTTTGACAGCACATAGACTAAACTTGGAACGATACAGAGAAGATTGGCGTGGCCCCTGTGCAAGGATGGCATGCAAATTCATGAAGCGTTCCACATTTATAAGCTTGGAAACTGTTGAAATAGGAGCGGCGGGGCTGCGTCCCCAACACCCCGGCCGCTTGGCTAGCTCATGCCCGAAATAACAACACACAAACTGTATTCATTTAAAGACTGCTTGGCCCATGAACTCTAGCTCTTACAGGCTAATTCTCGCACCTGGACTAGCCCATTTCTAATAATGCGTGTAAGCACCCCAAGGTGCGCTTACCAGGAAGATTCTAACCTATGTCCATCTTGGGTCAGAGCTTCATAGCGTGTGCCTCAGAGAGCAGAGCTATCGGGAGAGCGGAGCATGGCGTCTCTGCTCCAGAGAGCAGAGCTGTTGGGTCTCTCCAGGAGCAGAGCAGAGTCTGACCTCACTTCCTCTTCCGCCCAGAATTCTATTCTGTTTACTCCTCCCATCTATGTTCTAAGCTATGAGGCCAAGCAGTTGGTTTATTATAATTAACCAATGACCTTCCTCCATCAGGAAACAAAACCCAAAGGATTTCCCCGCCTTTGTGTGTCTTTAGGGTTTAAGTTACAAAGCTTCTGCCTCGATATTGTTTCTGGAGTTAGCATGCTCTTTTGTTTGGCAGTGCTGGCTGCTGCGTCCAGGGTCCTGTGTAAACAAATACACACTAGACAAGCTCCACCACTGAGCTGGGACTGTAGCCCCACCGAGCCCCTTCGGTAGCATTTAGCCTATTGACACATTTTGTGGTTTCTCTAATCTTTGAATTTGCATCAGATTGTTTGTTGGTTCTTCCTTGCCCGTTGTCTCCCTGGAACAGTCCCACAATGCAGCTCAGGCTGACTTTAGGCTGCTGCTTTAGCCCACAGTGTGGGTTACCGGTGTACGCATCCCTGGTCTTACTCACTTTTGTGTTGATTGGGATTTCTGAGTTTGAGGCTGGGAGCTGGTGTTACAGACCCATCGGTTTGTTTCTTAGAGTCTGCTCGTCAGGCTTTTTTATTTGCTTGAAAATCTGCTTTTCACTCCTGACATTTAAGGGTCCTTTAGGTGCATGGTCCCAGGTTTGTAGTTCTCCCTTAGTTGCCGTAAGTATACTGTACTGTAATTTGTCTTACTGGTGTTAGGTTTTGTTCCAGATGTTATTTCTGTACACCCAGAGGTTTATTTCTTTTGTTCTCTTTCTTTGTATTACATTCATTCATTCATTCATTCTCTCTCTCTCTCTCTCTCTCTCTCTCTCTCTCTCTCTCTCTCTCTCTCTCTGTCACGTACACACGCGCACAAAAAGCATGCCATAGTATGCATGTGGAAATTAGAGGACAATTTGTACAATTATTATTATTATTTTGATTTTTCGAGACAGGGTTTCTCTGTAGCTTTGGTGCCTGTCCTGGAACTAGCTCTTGTAGACCAGGCCTTGAATTTATAGAGATCCACCTGCCTCTGCCACCTGAGGGCTGGGATTAAAGGTGTGTTCCACCACCACCCAGCTTTTTGGGGGGGGGGTGTACAAATCTTATTTTAAAAATTCATGTATTTACTTAATTTAGGTGTACATATGTGTCTGAATTTTATGTGACATGTGTGTTCAGGTGCTTGAGGAGGCCAGAAGAGGGCTTTCCATCCCTTAGAAATGAAGTTAGAAGTAGGTGGCTGTGCCTTATCCGATGTGGGTGCTCCAGACTAAACCAGGCTCACCTAGAGGGCAGTCCTGAGGTTCCCACAGATGACACACGCTTGTGTCAAGGTGAGAAACTAAGCCACACAGCTGTCATGTATTGAACACTGTTCCTCCTTCTCATTTCTGGACTTCCACGGGAACAGGGTGGACTGTCCCTGCCCTTGCCAGTGACGTGTGTAGTCCAGCAGTTAGTGTTTCAATTCACTTTAGCTTCCTACCATCTGCAGCAGTAGCTGCTCTCTTACTGTTGCCCTAAATGTCTTAATATTTAATTTCCCTTAAAGTGTGTGTTTGGTGCAGGGGAAGTGCATTGTAGATGCTCTGTGTGATGCGCTCTCCCCGCAGTGGTGCCTGTAGCCTTCTCTTGGGTCTTGGATCTTAGGCTGTACACAGTTTCCTGTTGAATCTCTGTACGTGTGTGTTCGCGTGTGTGTGTGCATATGTGTGTACATGGTTGTCCTGTTGGTTTTTTCTTCATGCATTTCACAAGTGTAGTTGGTAAATTTGTATTTAGCTGGATTATGTATCAATTGTGTATATCTTCCCTGATTTCCTGGAAGTCACCCGCCCCGAGTTGCCCACCTGTGCTCCTGAGAGTGACTAAAGGCACGTACCACCACGCCCATCCCCAGAGAAGCTTTCAAGCTTTCCTCTCAGCCTGGGCGTCCAGATTTACTCGGGTGAAGATTTAGCTGTGACTGAAATAAGAACAGTGTGTGCGGCAGTGGGGACAGGCGGCTTAAACAGTGGCAGTGTGGTGGTGCTAAGATTAGGGCTTCAGTTTCATGATAGTGTCAGCACCGCCCAGTGGGGCAGACTGCACTCCTGTGGCAGGACCTGGCTCCTGTCTTGTGGCCCCACCACTGTTGAGCTTGTGTCCATCTTCAGGTGCAAGGGGACTCACTGTCTTTCCAGCCCGTCAATGTGCCGTTTATTTTGGAAATGGTATTCATGGCTTTTGCTCACATTCTCTTGGTCTGGATTGATTCAGAACCCCACACCTGGTTCTGAGGGAAGCTAGGAAAGATTATTTTTGATCTCAGTTATATGTTTTACTAAAAAAAAAAAGATCATTTCGACCACAATAGAAGCAGGGGCAGTAAAAAAGCCAGCAGCTAACATGGTTTTGTTTGCCGGCATAAATTGTAGGCGGTTGTTATCCAGACCCCATTATTGGTAGAAGGGGTTCTGCCTTCACTCTCCTCATTGTTGAGTATTAGTCAGGGCTGCTATCACTGTATGAAACACCATGACCAAAGCAGTTTGGGGAGCTTCATCATCAAAGGGAGGCAGGACAGGAACTCAAGTAGGGCAGCATCTTGGAGGGAGGCAGGAGCTGATGCCATGGAGGGGGCTGCTTTACTGGCTTGCTTGCTATGACTTGCCCAGCCCATCTTATTATAGAACCCAGGACCTCTTGGCCACCACAGTGGGCCGGGCCCTCCCACATCAATCACTAATTCCCTACAGCTGGATCTTATGGAGGCTTTTCTCAGTTGAGGTTTCCTCTTAGAGGACTCTAGCTTGTGTCAAATTGATGGGAACCTAGTTAGTAGTCAGGACTTACTATTATTATTTTGGTTTTTTTGAGAAAGGGTTTCTCTGTAGTCATGGGGGGGGCAGGCTGTGGTGGAAGGCTGCGCAGCGGGAGTTTAAACACTCAACCCCATTACAGCGCTCCCCTCTCCCTTGCTTTGCTGCTCATTTTAGGTCTTATGCCTACTCATTTAATGACCTTAATGCATGATATGCAAGAACTGCCTTGACAAAAAGGAATCTTACCCTTTATGTTTTTATATTTTTAGTAAAACTATAGTATATCTTTCATCTTTAAAAATATTCAGAATTTTAGCTTTTAGTATTTTATATAGTTGAAACATTTTGTTTTAAAAGTTTTATCCATTTTCTGCTAGCTTTCTGTAATTTGATTTTTATTTCTTATGTAGTTCACTTTCGGAATGTGCAGATGTGCTCTGATTAAGTGGATAATAATTAGGAGCAATTTGTTTCAGTCTTATTTAGTGAATATGTTTTTGTCGTCTTGTTTTAGAAAGTTGACTCACTCTCCTATTAAGCTTTTATGTGTAATCGTCTATTTAATAATTCTAATTCCTGGTGCAGATAGACTGCTTTTTAAAATGTTCCTTTGTAATTTTATTTGTTGAAATTTTAGTCATTTGTTTTTTTAAAAAAGAACAGTCATTAGGGTTGACGAGCTCTTAGCATCTGATTTAAGTGCCCGTTTCCATGGGGCCCATCACTTGAAACCAGTTCTACTTAATCTTCAAACAAATTGCCTTTATAAAGGTCTCTCACAATAAAGATTTGACAGTTTGATGTAGGTCTTGATAGTCATTTTTCATTACAGTTTCTTGTTAGTTAATAATAGGTGCAAAAGCCAGGCACGGTGGTGCACACCTTTCATCCCAGTCCTCTGGAGCAGAGGCAGGCAGAGCTCCACGGTGAGACTCAGTCTCCAAAGAAGTAATGTAGGAGCAGCGTACAGCAACGGTATTTAACAATGCCGTACTGGGTTTGACCCAGCATTCACTCACTCTCTCCCCACCCCAAAATGTGTTTTTAAATAATGAAATCCGGATGAACTTTTGGGACTTGTTTTGAGCTGAGGTCTCGTTTAGCCAGATTGCCCTCCATCACAGGTGTGCACTGCCGTGTCCAGCTGCACCGTATCTTTTTCCTGATTTTGTGTGTATGGTGTGGTATGTGTTGATGAGCTCCAGGGCTGCTTCTGGCCCTGCCCTCGGGTTGTAGGCACACATGCGGGGACTGGGGACTCAGATGTGTTTTTATAACTTGAGTCATCCCTCTAGTGCCTCAGCGGAACTTCAATGTGAAGAAAACCGGTTTTTAGTTTTTTTGAGATAAGAGTCTCACTGTGAAACTTTGTCTGGCCTGGAGCTCACTGTGTAGACCAAGCTGGCTTTGAACTCACAGAAATCTTCCTGTCTCTGCCTTCTGAGTGTTAGGAATAAAGACCAGTGCCACCATACCTGGCAATTCTAAAGGTTGTGGGGAGGGGGAGAGAGTATTTATCTGCGGGAGGGCAGCACCAGTGTGCTGATCAGAGGTCAGCTTCTGAGTGGAATCCAGGAGTGGAGCTCAGGTCTCCAGGTTTGGCCTGTAACTTGTAGCAGTTCTTTTACCCACCGAGCCATCTCGCCGGCACTCGCTTAGAAACAGTTTTCTAAGCGTGGTTGTTGTGGGTGATTGGGAGTGGGGTGCTGTGCCGAGTTAGAACTGTTAGTTGAGATTCTTCAGATCTTTGGTTTGGGAAAAGCTGCAATTTGACGATGGTTCGGAAATTGAGCATCCTTTAGTAGTAAGGGGAGCATTGGATGTGTGTCACCTTGTTATGTAGCTGTTAATATGGGTAATGCCTGTGTGTCTAGAACTCTTAGGCTACTAAAATGTTAATGAGTAGAAGGTTCTCAGTGTTGTCTGAGTGACTCAGGGGTGGCCAGTCACACCTTTACGTAGGTGGAAGAAATGACATGTCTCCTAAAATCTGTCCTCACCCATTTGTTTGTATGACTTGGCGACTCCTTGTTCTGTTTGTAGGTGGAAAACCATGAGTTTCTTGTAAAGCCCTCATTTGATCCTAACCTGAGTGAACTAAGGGAAGTGATGGACGGCCTGGAGAAGAAGATGCAGTCCACGTTAATAAGCGCAGCCCGGGGGCTTGGTAAGAATGATTCTTAAAGTGTTCACACTGGTGCCTGAGTCTTTGCGTTGTCACCCCGAGAGTCCCTGCTGATGCAGCTGGTGACTGTTGGGCACTGGAACATTCTGAAATGCTGTAGTGACCTAACTTTTACTTACGCACTGCTGTCTGCTGTCCTTTCTCTGCAGATGAGATCTGTCCATCGTTGTTGCTAGTAAATTCGGTTGCTGTTCTTCAGCCAACAAATTCCTGTATAGTATTTTTGGTTTTTAGTGTGGTTTAATAATCACTTTGAGTAAAATTGTGAGCAGAGGCTGTGATAGAAAATTTCACAAATCTTACATACATAATGTTTGCTTGCTCTGTGAAATTTGCTCTGCTTAACAAGAATAAAGCCTGGTTCTAGACTTTCATTGTCCAGTCGTAGTTTTGTTTAGAAGTAGCATTTGGCCACTTTCAGTTCTACCCCAATTTTCAAACATTCTTTGGTTACAGAAGCCTGGCCGAGGACGGTAGCTTAGTGATTAAAGGCACTAAACCACCAAGCAGCCTGGTGGCTGTCCTGGGACCCACATGATGGAAAGAAAAACTGACTTCCATAGTTTGTCCACTGACCTTAGCACACAAACTGTCTGACACAGTTCCATACACACGCACGTGAAAATAAGTCAGTGTGAAAAAGAGCCCTATGCGAAACTCCTAAGCACGGACTGACTGTACCATAGCCATTTCCATCGGCAGCCAACATCTGGAGCTGTGTGCTGCCCACGACTGGTCTTCTGCGCCCTTGGGTGGGTTTATCCATATAAAGAGCATCTTCTTTCATGTTAGAGGCCAGCATTCGTAAGCGTCCCAGGGAAGTGGGACGCGCATCTTTCCTGGTGAGATGATAATTTGCGGTGTGTTGCCCTGTCATGAGTGTGTTGCATTCTGATGCAGTGGTTTTGACCATCTACACTGGAAAGAGTATGTATTGATGACCTAATTGTTCTTTCTGATCATAAAGGATTGGACCCTGGCAAACAGATTAAGTTGGATTCCAGCGCACAGTTTGGATATTATTTTCGTGTAACCTGCAAGGAAGAAAAAGTCCTTCGCAACAATAAGAACTTCAGCACCGTGGATATTCAGAAGAACGGGGTTAAGTTCACCAACAGGTCCGAGAACATGATGCTCTCTCAAGCTTTTGGTAGTTGATGGGTTCTGATAAAATTGAATGCCTTCGACAAAGAGTTTTTACTTTTATTGTTCACTGTTTTTTAAACAAGAACTAAGAGTCAAGCTTTGCTTTCTTCCAAGAAGCTTATCATATATTCAGCTCTGTTAGCTGGGAAACATGCTTGTGTCTGGAGTCCCAGTTCCACAACGGCTGGGGGATCGCAGTGAGTTCAAGTGATCTCATTCAGAATGAGATCCCACCCAAAGCAACAAAAACAGAAAGACTGTTCTCCCCAACTGTCTCATTGTCTTCTAAAAAATCCAGATAGGTTGAATAATTAATTAATGTTTCTGTGTTCTTTGAGCTAGTTTCTCTTGTTCTGCTTTATTTTTGTCTTTTTTTTTAAGTTTATATCTGTTTTTTAAGTTATATTTAGGTATGTGTGACTGCACATGGATATGTACATAAGGATCCAGAGGCCTTGGATCCTGTGGAGCTGGGGTGTTAGGTGGCTATGAGCTGCCTAATGTAGGTGCCAAGAGTTAACTCTGGTCCTAGTAGAGCAGCAGGCACTCTTAAATGCTGAGCCATTCTCTGGCCCCTCATCTGTCTATTTTTCTAGGAAAGTCTCAGTATCATTTACCAAGTAGAAAGAAAAAAATCCTGAATGTATACATTAGTGAAGGGAGATATTTAACTGCATTACTGGGTCTATTCACTATGTATTATAGCTATTTTATGTTTGCTACTGAAAAAAAATTTAATTTTTTTCTTTTAACTGATCTTAGGAAGTTTTGGATAGACTTATTCATAGATAAAAAGTTTCTTGCTTTTTGCTTTTTTTTTTAAAAAAAAAATTTTATTGGATATTCAAGACAGGGTTTCTTTGTGTAGCCTGTTCAGGAAGGAGCTTACTATGTAGACCAAGCTGGTCTGAAACTCACAGAGATCCTCCTGTCCGTGCATTTTGAGTGCTGAGATTAAAGGTGTGCATCCCAACACCCTGCTTGGTTGCCCATTTTTCTACTTGTATTTCCATTTTTAATTTTCATTGTTCAGATGCTTCGTAAGACAAATATGAATATAGTTTGCGTGATGCACATTACTTCTGTCAAAGATTTTGATATTTTTAATAATGCCATGTTTTGATTTACAGTGAGCTATCTTCTTTAAATGAAGAATATACTAAAAATAAAGGCGAGTATGAGGAGGCCCAGAATGCCATTGTTAAAGAAATCGTCAATATTTCTTCAGGTAAATTTAATAGAGCATTGAATGTTTTGAATATCACCTGCTTTTTCTTGTTTAATAGAAAAGCATCAGGACGTTTGAAGATAGTTTTGCTTCTGTTTTAATTTTTTATTGTTATATTTATTTAATCTGTATTGTGGATGCATGTGTGCTTGTGGAGGCCAGAGGACAACTTGTAAGAGTTGGTTCTCTTTTCTGCTATGTGGATCCAGGGATTGAACTAGAGTGATCAGGTGGTCAGGCATTTTCTGCTCAGCTGTCTCACTGGCTCTCACAGTATCGCCTGTCACAGCTCGTTTCTTCACTCCTTAGCTGAAGTGTCCTTTTGCTGTACCTTTCGAATGCTGAGATTGACGGTGTGAGCCACTATTCAATGTTTGTGTTAAATCTATCTGTAGGTTCACACCGTAGGGTATGGGAATGAATATCACTGAAAAGTGAATACAGGTTAAACAAGACCAGCTGTTGGGAATTCATAGATTTTCATAGTCCTGTTATGCCATTGGGGGTGGTATTTTTTATTTGAAGGGGCAATGTGACTCACTATGTGTTACCAGCCTGGGAATGACGTGAGTCTGTTTAGTGTTTGGTGGGCAGTGATGTGTGTTAGTTTGAAGGCGACATAAAAAGGCTCTGTTCAAGATTAAGGGAGACCTGAAAGGACAGTCCAGCTAAGTCAAAGGCCCAGAGGGGCAGTTGAGAATAGCCGGGCAGCGGGAACACTACTGTAAGATGCTGGGACACCATCGTGGTCTAGAGCTCACGGCAGGATGGAAAAACAGGAGGATGTTTTTTTCTGAGGGCTGTGTACTGAATTGTTTAGGAATGATGAATCTTGAAAGACTGTATACATGTTTAATTCTCTAAGTTGTTTTACTTTTTGAGTGTTCATAATAAAGCAAAAGAAACAACTTAAGGTTTATTTTAATATGCTGCATGTATTGGTGCAGAAATGAATGGGGTGGTTTATGAAGATTATATTCTTGCTTGATGATATCAGGTAACTGAAGCACAGTAATTAAGTTGATTTGTGTTCTTGAGTCTAATTTGCATTTTGAAGAGCACTATAGATGCTGTTTATTTCAACCGTGAGTCTTCCTCCAAAACAGAACAGAAGCTGTTCTTCACCCAGCTGGTAAAGGTCTGGTTTTAGTCTCTGAATCTGGGGATTCGTATCATTCGCCATCAGCCTGAACTAATGTGACTTCTTTAAAATGCGGTGGACATAGAAATTCCTTTCCTGTCCCTTTCTATGGGTTCAGTTTTTGACCCAGGCTAGCCTCAAAGTTGAGAAAAGATGCTTTACAAAAAGTATAAGGCTTGTGAAATGGATAAAGATGCTTGCTTTTGGCTGTGCGACCTGGGTTTGATCCTTAGGCTCCACACGGTGGAAGGAAAGACCTGACTCACCAGAAGTTGTCCCCTGATGTCCAAATTTGTGCAGTGGATCATGGGTGCACATGCATGCTCACATAATAATAAATGCCTATTTTTTTAATTATAAAAATTTTATTTTATTTTGTTTTAAGATAGTTTAAAGTTTGAGATAGTTTATACATTGCAGGCTAGCCTTGAGTAGTTGATCACCCTCTTGCCTCCCAAGAGTTGAGATTACAGCCCTAGTCAACCCATGCATGCAGGTGTCTGCAGTGGCCGGAAGAGGGCATTAGAACCCCTGGAAATGGAGTTCCAGATAGTGTGCTACCCAGTGTGAGTGCTGGGCACTGAGCTCAGGTCCTCTGCCGGAGCAGCCATTGCTCTTAACCACAGAGTCACCTCCCCAGCCCCAGTGTGGTTGAAATCTTAACAAGTTTAAAATACTAAGGAGTGGGAGTGTAACGCAGCTGTAAAGAGAAGCTCGCCTAACACGCACAAAGCCCTGGCTTTTCCCTACCATTTCAAATTAAGTATATTTTAGTAAGTTCTACATTAATGGTTAATTAATTTCTAGAGGTTCTTACTGCTTTCTGATAATACAGTGTGACACTTTCATTTCCTTCCAAACAACAAAACAGGAGTGTAATTTTATAATACGAGATGATTATTTGATTTGGCCATTTTTAAGTTAGTTATCACCAAAACATTACTTTTATGTAGAACAAGATAATGAAAAATGTAATGTTGGGGCATGGTGGCAATGCTCTTTTTTTGTTGTTTTGTTTTTTGTTTTTCCAAGACAGGATTTCTTTGTTTAACAGCCCTGACTGTCCTGAAACTTGCTCTGTAGACCAGGTTGGCCTTGAACTTGCAAGAGATTCTCCTGTCTCTGCTTTCCAAATACTGGGATTAAAGGGGTGTGCCACTACAGACCAGTTGGCACACACTCTTAACTTCATAACTCAGGTGACAGAAGCAGGCAGATCTCCGAGTTCAAAGCCAGCCAGCCTGGCCTAATACAGGAAGAGCATAATCTAAAAAAACACAAAACTTTAAAGCAAATTTCCAGCCATTTAAACAGAAAATCTTATGTATTCTTAAAGTTGAGCTTTTTCCTGGACTCTCCAGAAGCACTGCCATTGGTAATCACATGATAGGTCATGAGACATGTGGGTTTGCTCTGTCAGCCACTCCGCTCCATTAGCATTTAGAATCCGCTGTCTTCACGTCTTTTTTCTAGCCTGTGTTAGGGAGTTGTCGTGATGGCATTTAGGTGTAGGGCTATGGCAGAGTGGGAACTTAAATGTGTGCTAATGGCTGTCGGGTCAAACTACGGAGAAATCTCCTCTGCGTGTACCAGTTGAACAATTGAAACTCAGCTAATATTCTTACAGTGGCTGGCACATTTCTTTTTTTCTTTATAAAATATTTATTTATTTATTATGTATACAATTGTCTGTGTGTATGCCTGCTGGCCAGAAGAGGGCACCAGACCCCATTACAGATGGTTGTGAGTCACCCTGTGGTTGCTGGGAATTGAACTCAGGACCTTTGGAAGAGCAGGCAATGCTCTTAACCTCTGAGCCATCTCTGCTGGCACATTTCTTGTGATCCTAACTCTGTCATCGTTGCTTTCCTAAGTTTCCCAGCATTTAGGGGAATGTAAGGCTAGAAAAACATTTAACACCACATTGAGTTTCAGACTTTTTTTTTTTTTTTTTTTAGAAAAGATATTTATTTCATGTGCATTGGTGTTTCGCCAGCATGTTTGTCTGTGTGAAGGTGTTGGGTTCCCTGGAACTGGAGTTACAGGCAGTTGTGAGCTGCCATGTGGGTGCTGGGAATTGAACCTGGGTCCTCTGGAAGAGCAGCCGGTGGTCTTCACTGCTGAGCCAATTCTCTAGCCCCAAGTTTCAGGCTCATTTCATTATAGCAGACTTGTCAATTTTTTAAATGGCCTTGAGCTAAACTTTGATCCTAAGGTGTATCTTTGCTGTTTGATAGTCCTGTGTACATGTCCCGCTTTGTGTTTTCACAGGCTACGTAGAGCCGATGCAGACGCTCAATGATGTGCTAGCTCAGTTAGACGCCGTCGTCAGCTTCGCGCACGTCTCAAATGCAGCACCCATTCCTTACGTCCGGCCGGTCATCTTGGAGAAAGGAAAAGGAAGAATTACTCTGAAAGCCTCCAGGCATGCTTGTGTTGAAGTCCAAGATGAAGTCGCGTTTATACCGAACGATGTGCACTTTGAAAAGGGTGCCCAGACGTTCCACATCATCACCGGTAAGGGGTTTGTCTTTGTGTAGCCTGGCTGTCCGGGAACACAGTTCTATGGCTTCGAACTCACAGAAATCCACCTTCCTCTGCCTCCTGAGTGCTGGGATTAAAGGCGTGCGTCACCAATACCCTGCTGGTAAAATTTCTTTAAGGAGGGGAGAAAAGTCACAAACCAAAAACCTATATTTTGGGCTTTGTGTGAAGAGTTAACACTTCCTTAAAGCCCTGGAATGGAAATAATGTGTTATAAATGATGAAGGAAGTCTCTGTTTCTGACGTTAGAGAAAGAATGCATTCTCGGGTTGGTAATGCTTTTAGATCCTGATTAGAAGGAAAACTTTGGGGTGACTAAAGTGTAGGAGACAATATTGTTCCGATAGAAACCTTCCGTTTCAGTTGTTCGGAGCATTTAAAAGAAAGGTTGTTTCACCCACAAAGCTCACCAGAGTCAGTGTGTGGAAGATTGGACCTGTTTGCTGGAAAAGCTTGTGGTAGCTCCATTTAGAATGAGCTGAGCTGTCTGGAGAGAGAGTAACCAGATGCGGAGTCTAGAAGGCAGGAGGGAAGTAAGAGTGCCACAGGTACTGGGCACGTGATGCCTGCATTCTGTCGCTCCCTGAGTGCGTATTTAAATCATGTAACCTAACCCAAACAAGGAAACCGTACGTTTGCCAAAAGAAGGGTTGTGTACACGGAGTTTAAGTGATATGAGGAGTTTGCCCAGGCTGATTATTCATTACCAGCCTACTTATTACTATTGACTATCGGTTGTGTCTACTTCTGACACCATTAAAATAGTCTGCCGGTATCTTTAGCTGTGGTAATATATGTAGATTTGCCGCAGTCAGACTCCAGGTTAGCTGTATATTTCACGAGCTTTGTGTAGGCTTGTTGGTAGAAACGGTAAGAACATTGTGTTTGGAGGCTGTGGACAGTGACTTTGTGCATGTGTTCTTGATGGCTTTTGTGTCTTCTTTGGGTATCATTGTGACTTAAGTAATCTTCAGTTATAGTTTTGAACTACTAGTGTCTTGTTAGTGAAAGAAATCAAAAGTCTTGCTTTTTGATATAATTCATTTTATAGGTCCCAACATGGGCGGTAAATCCACATACATTCGTCAGACTGGGGTGATTGTACTCATGGCCCAAATCGGGTGTTTTGTGCCATGCGAGTCAGCAGAGGTATCCATTTTGGATTGCATCCTGGCTCGAGTTGGGGCTGGTGACAGTCAGCTAAAAGGTGTCTCCACGTTCATGGCTGAAATGCTGGAGACTGCGTCTATCCTCAGGTATGTGTGTGGCCCTTGGCCCCATTCTGTGTGAACCACGTTTACGGATTCATCTGTAAATGAGATAGGCTTTCTTAGTTTGGCAATTGTTTGCCTGTGAGCTGTATGTACTTTCTATGATCTTAAAAGGGTGACTGGAGCTGGGCCGCCTGCTGTCCCGCTAATCTGGAGACAAGGGGTGACTCAATCTTGGTTGCTTGAGTCCAGCTTGGGCTCCATAGAAAGTGTCCAAAAACAGAACAGGGGAAGCAGCTTGTAATCTTTTAAAAACAAAGTTCCTGGACCAGAGAGACGGCTCACCAGTTAGGAGTACTTACTGCTCTTGCAGAGGAGCTGGTTTGGTTCCCAGCACCCACATAGCGGTTTCCAGCTGTTTGTAACTCTGGTTGCAGAGGTAATACATGTGCACATGCCTCTGGCCAGTATGTGTTCCTGTGTGTCCGTGGGGCACATAATACACCAAGCACATACAGATACACCACCTAAAATAAATGCTAAGTTCTTACTGTTCCTAGTGGTCGCCTCTGCTTTCACCTCCACTGTTCACAACATCTAGAACCTTCTTGTCCTTTATTCAAATCCTTTCTCTTCTTTAAAGTTATTTTATGCGCATGTTGTTTTGCCATTGGGTGTCCGGTCCCTCGGAACTGGAGTTACAGTTGTAAACTGCCATGTGGGTGGTGGGAATTGAACCCAGGTCGTCTGGAAGGGCAGTCAGTGCTCTTAACCACCGAGCCACCTCTCCAGCCCAGTCTTTAACATTCTAATGGTGAAAATACTTCTTCCCTGATGGTTTTTACAGTCATGGTTTTGTTTGCTGTGTTTCCTACTTTGTGAGGTTGCAGTTTAACACTGAGTGGTTTAGTAATTGATCAATACATCTATATCTACAACTTTAAAAAAGAAAATGAGATAGCAGTTGACAGAAAAAGAGGTATGTTGTGGGAGTTGCGGGCCTGCTTTTCGTCCCGCCCAGCTCCCGCCCGGCTAGCTTTACACCAGAAATAACAACACACAAACTGTATTCTTTTAAACACTGCTTGGCCCATTAGCTCTAGCCCTTACAGGCTAACTCTCATATCCCGATCAACCCATCTCTAATAATCTGTGTAGCATTAGTCTTATCGGGAAAGATTCAGCATGTCTGACCTGGCAGCTTGCTTCATGGTGTCTGCCTGGGAGAGGGGAGCATGGCCTCTGAGCTCACTTCCTCTTCCTCCCAGCATTCTGTTCTGTTTACTCCTCCCACCTATGTTTTAACCTATGAGGGCCAAGCAGTTTATTATAATTAACCAATGACCTTCCTCCATCAGAGGTAAACGCAGGGAGTGGTGGTGCACACCTTTAATCCCAGCACTTGGGAAGCAGTGGCAGGCGGATCTCTGAGTTTGAGGCCAGCCTGGTCTATATAACGAACTATAGGATAGCCAACACTACAAAGGATACCCTGTCTCAAAAAACCGAGAGAGGGGGTGTGGGGAGAGATAACACACATATCAACCCCCTGATGTGGATTCATGTGTGCTGTGTCCTGTGTTCAACAAATAATATTCTGCTGCAGACTCCCAAGACCTCTTTGTCATCCCTCTTCTGTGATGATCCCTGAGCTACATTGTGTGTGTGTGTGTGTGTGTGTGTGTGTGTGTGTTTGAGACAGAATTTCTCTGTGCAACAGCTCTGACTGTCCTGGAACTCTGTAGACCAAGCTGGCCTTGAACTCACAGGGATCTGCCTGCCTCTGCCTCCAAAGTCTGGGATTAAAGACGCGTGCCACCATGCCAGGCTTCAAACTACATTTTATGTCCTGTAATTGTGCATTTCAGATCAGCAACCAAAGATTCCTTAATAATCATTGATGAACTGGGAAGAGGAACATCGACTTACGATGGGTTTGGATTAGCATGGGCTATATCGGAGTACATTGCAACGAAGATTGATGCCTTTTGCATGTTTGCAACCCATTTTCATGAACTTACAGCTCTGGCCAGCCAGATACCAACCGTGAACAATTTGCACGTCACTGCACTAACGACTGAAGAAACCTTAACTATGCTTTACCAAGTTAAAAAAGGTGGGCACGCGCAACTCGAGGCAGGAACTTACTGCCTAAAGTGGTATCTGTCATCACATTATTTCTTCTCGATGGTTATTGTTGTTTTTTAAGGACACACTTACTGCTGGTTGTCTAGAGAAAAGAGTAGTATACATTATCTGCATTACTGCATCAGATGAAAAAGGGGAAATGGGTTTGGTTTATTCCAGTTACAGATTTAGGTTGGTGCTGTTTTTTGAAGTATGTGTGTGGAGCAGACTGTTGACATGGTTTGTTTTCAAAGGATCTACGTTCTTTTGATCTGTGTGTGTGCGCGAGCACCTTGTCTGTGTATGGGTTAGTGCACATGAATACAGGCAGAGTCCAGCAGGAGATGTTGGATGGCCTCCAGCTGGAGTTGGGACTTGTGCTGGGAACTGAGTTCATGTCCTCTGGAAGGGCTGTCCACGCTTTTAACCACTGAGCCATCTCTGGCTCTTCATGTTTTTAAGGTTGTGTTCTGGAAACATGCTCATTTGAACGTGGTGAGTCAGATTCACTGACAGTGTTAGTAGTGGCTCTGTGGTGTTTGTCTGCTGCTGTGGCATAGGTTTAGAAAAGCTGGTGGGTGTGGTCCCCCTCCATGGTGCTGACCTCCCGTGAGGCATCAGGAAGCTTCTTTATCATAGTGGGTGGTTATTTCACCAGTCACCAGAATAAGGTTTTTCACACGTCTGACTTCCCATGAACATGTTTTTGTTCTTGTTACTGCTCACGTAGTCTTGATGTCCTCTTAGTTGTTTTTGCTGAATAGGAATTACTTTGAGTTGCCGTGTTTGCATTATTGATATTTGTTAGAGAAGACAGTATTTGTAGTAGATCTAGCATTCAGCACGAAACTCTGGTTCTGCTTTTGTTGTCTGTGTGCTGTGCACTACAGAAAGAGAAGTAAGTTCACCCTTGTTGTGGGTGTTACGTCCAACTGAGCAGTCCGGCTTTAGGTAGTGTGTGAGATAAATAAGTAGACCTAGTTTTTTAAACAGTTGGTGCATAATTGAGGCGCTGCAGCTTTGTAGTGGTAGCCTCACTCGTCCTTAGTGCAGCCGCACAGCCTCTGAGCTCACTGTTCCTCAGGTCGAGTGCGCTCAGCGCCGCAGTGAGAGTGAGGATGTGAGTCACGTCATTGAAAGTTTCCTCAGAGTGTCCTGAACCGCTTGGCTATTGCATTTAAAATAATCTAAAATACATTTTCTAACAGGACAATAAAAGGACACTCCATTAGCATAGCTGCTGTGTCTTTCCACCCTGATTTCCTGCAGGTGTCTGTGATCAGAGTTTTGGGATTCATGTGGCTGAGCTTGCTGATTTCCCGCAGCATGTAATAGAGTGCGCCAGACAGAAAGCTCTCGAGCTTGAGGAGTTTCAGAACATTGGAACCTCACAGGGACGCGATGAGATGGAGCCAGCCGCCAAGAGATGCTGCCTGGACAGAGAGGTTGGTCATCTGGGCTTCAGTCACTGCACCTCTGTTGTAGATATTGGGACCACAGTGAGCTGGGCTTTCCCCCAAAGGGATTTCAGTTCTTGCTCTTTGATCGGTCTTAACTGACTCTCATATCTTAGCATAACCAAAAATATCCCAAGTTGGTTGTTGTTTGGGTCGTATTGGTTTTTGACATAGGGTCTCACCATATAGCTTTGGCTGGAATTCCCCATTTAGACTGGGCTGACCCAGAACTCACAAAGATCCACCTGCCTCTGCCTCCAGAGCGCTGGGATTAAACATGTGAACAACCATATCTGGTTCCCAGCTTTTCTCTTTATTTTCTGTGCCATCTTCCTTTGTATGGATGGACATACAGGAGCTGGAGAAAGAGTCTCTGGAGCCAGCCCCTGTCACCTCACACTGCCCCCAGCCCCTGTCACCCCACACTGCTCCCCCAGCCCCTGTCACCCAATGGCCCCAGCTCCTATCTCACCATACTGCTCCCCAGTATCATTTAAAGTACTAAATTTGATTGTAGAAATAAGGAATATAGAGAATTAATTTAAATATATGTTAGTCTAGATTAAGTTTTACAGCCGTAGATGTCCAGCTAAACTGAATAAGTAAAACAACAGAAACAGTTCCTGCCCTTCATTTTGTTTAGAATATATTTAATTAAGAGAAATGGCTGTGTCTCCGACTTATTGAGGAGCTGTTTGTGGGCAGAATGTTTGTTCCCAGAGAGGCTCTTTGTTGAGCCTTCTGAGTTGGTGGTCAGATTCAGATGCTCACGCAGTGCTGCGGCAGATGTCTGACTCATCTCCGCCCCTGCCTCCCCTGGCAGCACTACGGTGCTGTATATATTGGGGAGACTCTGACTTGGCGTGTCTGTAGTTTTACCCAGCGCATGTTTTTAGGGGTAGATGGTTGCTATACAAAAAGGACAGCCATAACTTGCTCATAATTTTAGATGTGGAAAGCTGCCACCCTGAGCATGGAGTGGTTTTGAATCCGCCTTCCCCTTGATGTATCAAACTCAGAGATTCTGATGGTTGGAACCAGGCAGTCTGCTCCATGTAATTCTGGTTTCCACGAAAACCGAAACCATGTACTTCTGTTAATAAGATATGCTTTGAAAAGTTTTAAAGCTAAAGGAGACAACATTCTTACTGCTGTTAGTATAGGGTTTGTCTTTGTTTTTTAGAAAGTACGTGCAGGAGTTTGAATTCCCCTGGGGCGGGGGTGGGTGGTGGTAGGGGGACAGAGAGAGATTGTGTGTGCCCTGGTGCACATGTGCAGGTCAGGGGACAGCTGACATGGGTGGCTCTCAGCTTCTGCCATGTAGGTCCCAGAGATCAAACTCAGGTGGCCAGGCTTGCCTCTGCCCTCTGCATCATCTTGCCAGCTCTGTCTACGTGATTTTTAGTGGAGAAGTGTTTCTTTCTTACTAGTTAGACATCTGCCGCTTACCTATAGATGCTTGCTGGTGCCTGTCTGATAAAGGCCACTGTGTGCAGCTCCAGTAAATGACACAGTGCCTCGCCTGCCTTCAGACCTGCAGTCAGTCACTTGGCTCCTCAGGACAGATGTGTGAAGTTGATAATAGCCGCGTTTTAGAGATGGAGAGTGTGACTTAAGGAGCTTGCCCTCAAAGTAACAGCCATGTCCTTTGTACAACTCTGAGCAGTAAATAGAAATGGAAAGATCCTGTGTACATGCATGTGTGCACGTGTGCATGTAAGAGAGAATTTCAGGTTTATACTAAAGTGTGCCTTATAATCCTTAAATTCTTTTTCCCTGAGATTAAATTCCATGTCAGTTAAAGCAGAGGGCTTGAAGAACTACTAAATCTCAATTCCTTATCATCTGAGAATAAAATATAAATATCACTAGGCCTTTAATCCCAGCATTCAGGAGGCAGAGGCAGAGGCAGGCGAATCTTTGTGAGTTCAAGGCCAGCCTGGTCTTCACAGCAAGTTCCAGGACTTCCAGGGCTACACAAAGAAACCCTGTTTTGAAAAACAAAAAACAAAACAAAAATCAAAAAGTATAAATATCTTATTAATGACTTGCTTTGGAGACATTCATAGCAACCAAGGGTTTTGTGAGTCTAAGAATTGCTTGCCCACTTAATATGATAAAAATGTTTGCTAAACATTGAGTAGCTCATTTAGATCAAAGTTAAAGAGTTCATTGCTCTGGCTGGCTGGAGGAAGAGTGCTTGCTGCTTTTCCAGAGGCCCCAGTTCGGTTCCCAGCACTCACATGGGTCATGATCTATAAATCTAGCTCCAGGAGACCCAACACCATCTTCTAGCCTCTAAGGGCACTCATGGACATATGTCATACAGACACATGAATAAGAAAAAAGTTCATTACTGCTGAAAGCAACTTTAAACAGACGTTTTAATGATGGTGGGACATGGGTGTTTTTCAGCAAGGTGAGAAGATTATTGTGGAGTTCCTGTCCAAGGTGAAGCAAGTGCCCTTTACTGACATGTCGGAGGAGAGCGTCATGCTGAAGCTGAAGCAGCTGAAAGCCGAGGTGGTCGCAAAGAATAATAGCTTCGTGAATGAAATCATTTCACGGGTAAAGGTCACATGAGAAAGCGCCAGCGGCACAGAGAGGGCAAGGATGAGCTCGCCATGTGTGGCTCTGCCGTGCTCACCATCGGGACTGGGAGAGCGGTGTACCCAAGTTTTTAATGATACTTTACCTGAAAATGTCTTAAAATATTCTCAAGTTGAGATCTGTAACTGGGTCTAACGGGCATGGGCAACTTTAAGCAACATGGAGAATTTTATAAATAAAGTCATATAGTTTGTAGAATTGGTGGTGCCTTGTGTTTCTTTGCAATATGACTTGTATACATTTGCCCTACTGATATTACCTATATGATGGAGGAAGGTCATTGGTTAATTAAATAAAGAAACTGCTTGCCCTGATAGGTTAGAACATAGGTGGGTGGAGTTCAGAACAGAATGCTGGGAGGAAGAGGAAGTGAGCTCAGAGACCATGCTCCCCTCTCCTGGGCAGACACGATAGCTCTGCTCTCTGAGGCAGACACGATTGAACTCTGACCCAGGATGGAAGTAGGCTAGAATCTTCCTGGTAAGCGCACCTCGTGGTGCTACATAGATTATTAGAAATGGGTTAAGAGGTTGAAACTAATGGGCCAAGCAGTGTTTAAAAGAATACAGTTTGTGTGTTGTTATTTCGGGGCATAAGCTAGCAGTGTGGGCGGCCGGGGTGCTGGGGACGTAGCCCCGCCGCTCCTATTACTACACCTATAGGCTTTGTACAAAAACATCTCAAAACAGAGGCCATGAATATCTGTACACATACATAATAATTAAAAGAAAATTAAGCCAGGCGGTGGTGGTGCACGCCTTTAATCCCAGCACTCTGGGAGTTTGAGTCAGCCTGGTCTATACAGCGAGTCCCAGGACAGCCAGGGTCACACAGAGAAACCTTGTCTTGGAAAAAAAATAATAATTTTAAGCCTAGCATGGTGGTGCACACCTTTAATTCCAGTATGTGGAGGGGGGGGCAGAGGCAGAAGGCTCTCTAGAATTAGAGGCTAGCCTGGTCTGCATAATGAAACCCTGCCTCAGAAAAATCCCTATATAACTGATTGACAACAAAATAGGCAAGAGACCTGCATAACTGTCTTTCCCGAGAAATAATAATGGAAGATAAGCCAGTGAGAAGAGACAGAGTGAGACAGTGAAAATCACGCGAATCGCCTGGACAGTCTGTGGGGCCACTGGCAGTGGGACCAGGATTTATTCCCTAGTCCTTGAACTGGCATCTTGGAGCACATACTCTTTGAAGGGATACCTTGCTCAGCCTAGATATGGGGGGAGGGCCTTGGTCCTTCCTCGAAGTGAAGTGTCAGACTTCATTGACTCCCATGGGAAGCCTTACCCTTTCTGAGGAGTAGGATGGGTAGGTGGGGAGGGGGGAAGGTGGAGGAAGCGGGAGGAGGGGAGGGAGTGGGAAGGGGAAAGCTATATAAAATTAGACAAGATTATATTATTAAAAATTCTTAACTGAAAAAAAAACATGACCCACTTGACTATGAGTTGGGATGGTTAGAGTCAGGTGAGTATTGGCAAGGGCATGAGGAGACGGAACTCTTGTACACCTGTGGGAGAGGAAAAGCTCTACCCCTTCGGAAAAGCAGTCTGGTAGGTCCCCCAAGCAGTAAAAAGCTGGTTCCTGTCCTGGGTGTCTGTCTAAGAGAAAGAAAAACATCACAACAAAATTGGCACACAAGCATCAAGATTTTCAAGAGTGGAAGCCGTCCCAGTGTCCTGGCAGAGGGTGAGTGTGTTAATAAAGTGTGGTCTGGCTGCTTGATGTTAATCTGTGTTCAGAGAAGCAGTGGTACATGGGTAAGATTGGGCGAGTCCTAAAAATGCCGAGTGTGAAGCCAGTCACAGGGGTTCACACTTGGTCTGTTTGTACATTGAGTCACCTGCCAGAAATAACTTGATAAGTAGTGGTCTGGGGCTGAGGTTTGGGCTCAGCATTTGTGAGGTGCAAGTTTAGGCTGGGGTGTACACACTTGTGAACACACGGGAACCACTGGGTTGTAGACATGAAATGGACAATCATGGTACCTGAGCAATGTGAATACAGGTCACTTCGCCCAAAAGACGAGGTAAGTAGACGGCTGTAAACATAGAAAGGTTTTCAGCTGGTCTAGGTGGCACTTGGGGACAGGCAAGTGGATCTGAGTTCACAGCCCGTCCTACATAGTGAGGCCAGAGCTACGAGATCAGACTCCCTCCCCCAGGCACAATTCCATGCCAAGTTAACTCCTGCATCCTCCTCCAGACATGACTAGTTCCAAGTGGCAGTGCCCACTATTGGTCAGGATATGAGGGGGCACTGTTGCTGGGCATAAGCTTTGTAAAATGCAAATCATGCCCCAGCATTCTCTCTAAAATGTCCTGTTCCCAGGGGGGACATTAGAATGTTCGTGCTACCTAAAAAAGGGTGATTAGCTACAGCCCACAAAGGAGCAACCACAAACCTTGAAACAGGAAAGAGTTCTTGCCCTGACTTAAATGCAATGTATTCATTATCATTTGTTTGTGTGTGTGGTGTTTCTACTGCATGGATGTCTGCATCACATCATGCATGGTGCCCATGGAGTCCTGACAAGGGTGTTGGAGCCTTTGACTCAAGCTCCAGACAGGAACCACTACGTGGGTGGGAACTGGGTCCTCTGGAAGAGCAAGTGCTTCTAACCATTGCACCATCCTCTCTAGACCAGTGTAGAATGCCTGAGTGAAGTGTGGAAGTGTACCCACTGCAGGGTACGACGAAAGAAGCAAACGGTCAAGTGAGCCCCGAGAGCCATGCTGGCAGAGTGGGCCTTTTCCCAGGGCGTCTGGAGAGAGCGTTCCCTCAAGTGCGACTTCGCAGGTCTTTTTTCATCACTGTTCAGTCGTGCAGTTTTGTTTCAGACATGTAAACTTTAGTGTGAAGAGAAATTGAAAATGAAGCCTAACCTTTAAAATAGTTTACTGTGCTCTTTTTCTTCATCGCTGACGGATGCTGGCTTTTCCTTTTTTGAATACCAAAAGCTCGGGAAGAAGGCCAACTTGGACAAAATATGTGTGTGGCTTGTATTTTGAGACGGGAGCTTCCAGGCTGGCCTGGAACTCTAGATCTCCCTGCCTCAACCTCCCGAGTATTACGCCATGACCAACTGTAGGGCTTGTTTTGTTTTGTTTTTACAACAGTCTCACTACAGTAACCCTGGCTGTCCTTGAACTCATAGAGATCCATCCACCTCTTGAATGCTGGGATTAAAGGCATGCGCCACCATGCCTGGCTCAGCCAGAAATTTTTACATAATTCGAAAAGCAATTTTTAAACTGAGCTGAAATATTTTCATCCCTTGGATGGCTGCGAAAGGGTGTTTTTAGATTGCTGTACGGAAGCATGTTGAAAATGGAAATCAGCTATGATGGTTTTAGTTGTTAGGACTACAAGAGACGGAGGAGCTGGTACTGAGTCCAAGAAAACATTTAGTCTGTCAAGCTCTAACAGCCAGGCTCCTTCCATTTATCTAAAAGAAGCTTCGTTTTTAGTTTTAAGATACTTTTGAAAAATGATTAGGATGCCAGGGACTGGGGCTGGACTCCTACACATGCTAACAAAACAACCTGGCCTTTGCTTAGAGGCCCCTTCCTTTTGGGACCTAAAACAACCCGAGTTCTCACCTGTCAAAGACTGCATTGCACCGGAGAGATGGCTCAGTGGTTAAGAGTGCTGGCTGCTCTTCCAGAGGATCTGAGTTTGACTCCCCGCACCCACATGGAGGCTCACCACTGCCAGTAATTCCAGTTCTACGAGTTCCTAGGCTTCTCGTGTCTTCATACTCTTACAGATAATGTACACACACACAATTAAAAAATCATAAAAGTAAATCTGTATTTTAAAAAGGCAATCTATACACATCTTTAGCTGTAATTTGGTGGGTTTCCTCCCCCCCCCACAGTTGAAATATTAACCAGTAATTCCAGAAGAAAGCAAATTTCTTAATGTCAAGATTACAGACCCAATGCTAGTTAGCTGGAAATCTGTTAGCATATAACCATGTCTCAGAAAACACAGTAAAATTCCTTCCTAAGAGCTGGGTGGTGGTGGCACGCTCCTTTAATCCCAGTATTTAGGAAGCAGAGGCAGGTGGATCTCTGAGTTTGAGGCCAGCTTGGTCTACAAAGCGAGTTCCAGGACCACCAGGGTTACACAGAGAAACCCTGTCTCGAATGCCCCACCAAATCCATCTAAGATGTAATTTTGTAATTGATTATACTTTTCCTCAAAAAAAATTTTTTTTGGGTTAAATATAATGAAATGGATAGTGGAAGGTGGTGTGTGTGTGTGTGTGTGTGTGTGTGTGTGTGTGTGTGTATTTAGATACATTAAGTTGCCAGCTGTACCAACTTAGCTGGCCGGGTGACAAGGGTAGGTATATTTAAAGAATAACTTGTTCCCCTCCAAGTCTCCGTGTTCCACATACTAAGCACATCCTGTGATACTTCTTGAGTATTAAATACATCTTCTATCCTTGGTCTTTCTGCATTTAGCTCTTTTGGGGAAGTGTGTTTTTACCCTTAGCATATGGTAGGAGCTGCTGATTCAGTATTGAATGGATCTGGAAGCTTGTTAGTTACATTCTGTTGATTAAAATGGTGTGCAGAATAGTCAGGAAAAGCCTGTCCCTGGTCTGAAATAAACATTGTTAATTAGCTGTGGAGAACAAATGAGTAAAGAGACTTTTCACACAGATTCTGTATGTTTGGGTTAAGGGAGGGGGTGTGTGTGGTCAGGCAAGAGAACGGAAATGCCCAGAATGGCCGAGCCTTAGCGTGAAGCTGGCATGCAGCCCAGCCTGAAAGAGCAGCTCCTGCCCGATGCCCCTTCTCTGTGTCCGACAGAGTTTTTATTGCTCTGCATTAGAACGTATACCTAGGCTGTCACCACCTGTGATCCCAGTACTGAGAAGGACCCTGAGTTTGAGGCCAGTCTGGATTTATATAGGAAGATTAGGCTAGCCTGGATTATATAGGAAGATTGAGGCCAGCCTAGACTTATACAGGAAGATTAGGCTAGCCTGGAGTATATAGGAAGATTGAGGCCAGCCTGGATTTATATAGGAATATTAGGCTAGCCTGGATTATATAGGAAGATTGAGGCCAACCTGTGCTTATACAGGAAGTTTGAGGCCTGTTGAAGACCAGCTTTGACAAAACTCACATGCTCCAGGGTAGGAGCCTGTGGATTAGAATTATTAAGCAAAAGGAACA